AATGATTTAGGTAGAGCACTTTGTGTATGGACATGAGCAATAGTAGTGTGCTCCATATTAATCACAATTGACAAACAATAATCGTTAAATGATTGGGATGTAATTCTCCAACATTATTATGTCTGAATCTCTTTATATAATGATCCAGAAAATGAGCTCTTAATCTTATACTTTGAGCAAGAAGCTTAACAAATAACTTCTTGAATCCTTTCTTTTTTTTTGAAAGGATTCTTGAATCATTTCTTAAAAAATGAAGATGATTCAATTACAATTTTATTCATAGAAAGCAAATAACTTGGTAATTGAACCCTTATATTCTTTAATGGGTATCAAACGATTTCTTGATGATTGTATGCATCATTACATGACCCGAGTGAATGAGTGTCTAAACGGACATGCCACAACATGAATGTTTTATACTTATCTAACTTTGTGTTAGATACCAAATTTATTTCAAATGCCTAATATATGTGAAATTTAGTCATGAATGTTTTATACTTATCTAACTTTGTGTTAGATACCAAGTTTATTTCAAATGCCTAATATATGTGAAATTTAGTCCTGAGAAATACACTGAAATTTTTTCATAAATGTATTTAGTGTCAGATTTAATTGTTGTAAGACAAAGATATTATTTTTTATTTCAATTCATGATTTTTATGTGATAAACATTTTGACGCCATCCTCAAAATTCAATAAGTTTTTTCGTGATTTGCTGAAATATAAAATGTCATTATAATTAACTTTGTCCCATTTGGAAGTATCAGATATGCTATCTCAGATTCTTAATGAACTTTCACAACACCTGATATTATATAGACTATAGTTTCAACTAAAATCAAAATAGTGTGTGTTGTAATGTTGTCTATGGACATCTCTTTATCGTCTCAATATTATACTCGTATCATAATCACTGACTTCATATTTGAATATTAATAAGCTATTCTTGGTGTACAACATCATATCGAGGGTAAAAATTAAAATGAAAAAATAATGTCAAGAATGATTAAATGAAAAATAATTGCTTCAATGTTGTTTTGAAAATTTTATCTTCACATACAAAGTTAGACATTATGTCTAATCTAGTCCTCCATAAAATTAAAGTGAATAAATTGTGTATAAAAGATGATGGTGGATAAATAAAATTGATAAATAGTGTAAGGAATAATTAAATGATTCTGTTTCCCAACATTTGATAAATTGATTTTCTATATTTTAAGAATAAGAGAATAAATAAATAAAAAAGTGATGGTCCAATTGGGGAAGCCTATTGACATGTTGGGCTGCAGGAGAAACGGCCTGTTATCCATCCACTGCTGGGGGCAGGAAGTGATCGCTGCTCTGTGAATCCAGCCTCACGCTTTGCCTCCCTTTTCAGTGGGCACGACATCTCAGCCTTCGCCGAGAAACCATGACCAACACCCAGCTTGGATCGGGCAGATCATTTTACGCCTCCCATAGCCCAGCCCATAGGACAAGCCCAACGTTCCGTCACCCTGATGCTTCCGCTTGGATCACAAGCCCACGCTACTGAGCTCAGCGACCAAAGCTATCTTCCAGTGGTTTATTAACAACTCAAAAGTCATCTCTCTATTCGGTGTGGGATTTGCGTTATTTAGTGGCACTCTATACCTTTGCCGCTTTCCTCAAGTCCGTGCCTTGAATGTTACATGAAAACCATTATAAATTAGGAGTCAAATAGTCCTATTCTTTGTACAATAATATATGTGCTGCTAATTCCTCACTCTAGCTAGCCAATGGGTGTCATCTTTCATCCTTCACAATCATCGATCTATAGTTGGAAAGCCTTTGAGATTCTTGTTATAAGACATTATGGATTTGTTTAGCAATGGCTGCAACAATTGGAACGGTTGAAACACATGAAAAGATCAAATTAGCTGAAGTGAGGGTACTCGATAGTATGTTGGTTGAAATGACTCATTGAATGTAGAATTATCGTAAAGGGTATTAGTTTATTTGTGTTAAATTTATGGGTGTGATTTTTTTGCTAGTACAATTATTTTGCTTGATTAGGTGATTATAGGACTTGCTTATTAATTGATTACTTCAGGAATTTTATTCTTACTCTTATTTCGAATTTTATTCTCCATATTGTTTTATACAAATATTTTTCAAAAAACGTGTTTTCAAATAATAGAGTTTCTATGAATTGAAGTACATTAACAAGCTCACATGCATTTATGTTATAATAAAATGAATCATAAAACACACATAAGTAGTAATTTGAGTTCATTAGGAAATATAATGAAACACAAAATAAACATAAATATCAATTACTACTTGAAATGATCAATAAACTGGTGGTTAATCATTGATGGTTTCATAAGTGAGTAACTTTGAATTGTTAATGCATGGCCTCATGATTAATAATCTAAAGAGGGACTAATTATGTTGAGGTTATCAATCTCAATTGATTTGATCAACGTACAAATTAAGAGATTGACTACTAGTGACGAATTGGAGATACTCGCTCCAGGATTGAGGAGATGGTTAAACAAATATCTGGGATCAATAACACATTCCAACAAAGTGAAAAGTAGCAAAACCAATTCTTTATCATAATGATTTAATTATAATCATGTAATTCATTCATCTTAGTATTTTAATTTTCTTAAAGTTAAAAACCCCATTTGGTTACGATTTCACAATAGAAAAAATGTATATCCCTATAGATACTAACTCTACTACGATATTAGTTCTATTATTGAATATATTTGAAGCACAAAATAAATGTCGTCAATTTTCAGAATGCGCTACAAAAAATCGTAATATCGTATGATTTGCAACAAAAATAGAAACAAAACTGAAAAGACAACGGATATTATAATCATAATGGTGTAGAGGCGGAAACTACCTGTCAAATATGTTGATCGTAATATATAAAGGGCGTGTTTGGAAATTGGTTGTTGGCTGTTTGCTGTTGGCTGATTGTATTGGTGGATTCATAATAGCGGATTCTGTTAGCTGTTTTGATTGGCTGATAATATTAGCGGTTCGTAAAATTGTGTTTGGTTAAATGACCGTTTACAATCAGCTGGTAACTTGTTAAATGACTATCAAAGACACAAATAATTTTTAGCTTCAATAATAATAATAATAATGTTGTTACTACTACTACTATTACAATTATTATTATTATTGATGTTATTATTTTGAGATAAAAAGGTACATTCGGAGTAGAGTATATTTTAATATATAATGCACAAAACTTGAACCTTTTTCATATGACTTTAAAAAAAATAGAAAAGAATATTTAATTTTATTAAATGCATGCTTGCTTCGTGCAATCTTCTTTTTCTCTTGTGTAGAAAGTTGAATATAGTAGTGGTTTTTCTCTTTGATGTATAAGGAGGCTATGTATAAGGAGGCTGGGAGTAGGTAGATACGGAAAGTAAGGGGCATGGGCTGTGTGGGTAATAAGGGGAAGTAAGAAACAACGGAACCTAAAGGCCACTTTTATCAACATTTTCAATTTTGACTATTTAAGACAAAAAGCCAAATTAAAAAGTCAAATTAACCAAACACCTCTATTAGCTGTTTATCTGGTCAAAATGTCAAATAGTGGTCAAATCAACCAAAAAATGGTTGATAGACCAATAACCAAACGCCCCCAAAATACTGCCGGATACTGTAATCAATCAAATACTCTACTATCCTACTTTAATTTACAAATTGTCATATAAAAAATATAAATCTTGTATGAATGAAGAATCAAATCCCAACACTACATTTTTTATACAATTTGATTACAAGCCGTTTGGTAACACTGAAAATGGCTGAATTGGCTGATTCTGCTGAAATTTATGAAGTTCTGGCTGGAGCGGCTGTATTGGCTGATTCTGTTGATTTATGAAAAACTTATATTTAAAATATTTGTTATTAATAAATAAAATAAAAAATTATATGAAAAAGTAGGTAAAATGATACTCTAAAGTAACTTCAGCCAATACAACCAGAAAATTAAATCCAACCTTACTTTTTCTTATTATTACGCAATTCGACACGCGAAATTAAAAGTTACATGTTTGGTGAAAATACTGGCCGATAAGTCTGATAAACCGAAAAAAGGAGCTACCAATCGTGCTCTACATGTTACTCAAGAAATGTGTTTAGAATTTTACAATAATATGGATAAAGTTATTCAAATTGAATTTAAGATTACGTTTTATTTATACAAAATTATTAATTTATGCAATACTCCGTATGTGCGTTAATGCTAAAATTGTTGAAAATTTAAAAGTTACGTATGTTAGTGCTAGAATTATTATGGTTTAATTGTCGTTGTTGGCTTTGATGCTTTATTACAAATTTGAAAATAAACCTTTGTAAGTATGCATACAAAAAAGGCATGTGATCTGATAGTTTATCTGAAAAATTATTCCTGCCGTGTGTGTATATGTTCAAAGGAATATATATACTAATTAATATACAATTATACACAAACTAGAAGTATTTTATGCTGTCGTCCCGAATTTGAGAAGGATTAGGCAATTATTTAGCTTGTTAAAATGTATAATCACATGTGGATATGGTGCTTTGATTAGTGTCCTGTCGTATGGAATCCATCAAACTCCAACTCCACCTATGTGATTAACACAAACAAGAAAAAGTTTATTTTATGGAATCATATTAATCACCGATTTTATTCGGTCAATATCGTATAGCTTTCGGTCAACGCGTCACTTAATTAATTACTCCCTCCGTCCTAAATTGATTTGCAAATTTGACTTTTGTTGATCAAACAGTTTCATTTTATTGGCTTAATTAGGATGTCAATTTTTATTTATATTCTAATTTGGGATTTGCAACTTTTAAGAGATTTCAATGTAGTTTATGAATATGTAAATTTTAATTATTAACAATTAAGTTAATTATCGATACAGAACTTTGACTTTTATTATTGGTTGATCAAAAAATATTGACTTTGAAAAAAAAATGTGGGAGAGAGAAGTACAAATTATCCTCTCTATAAATTGTTGGCCGACTTCACCTCAATTTCTTCAAAACTCACAACCAAATAAAAAAGCTTTTTTTATTTCAAGAAAAAGAATGGGTTTTCTTTGTTTCAAGAAAAAACACCGCCACTTTCTCCGTCGCTCTTCGTCCATCTCCATCCCGGCGAGGATGAAGGTGATCGATACCTCGCCGGAGAAGGTGGTTGCGCCACCGGCAGAGAGGCTGGAAAGAATGCCGACGCCGGAAGATGTAGACAAACGGGCGGAAGCTTTTATTCAAAAGTTTAGGCACGAGAAGGTGGCTGCGCCACCGCCGGAAAGAAACCCGGCGGCGGAAGATATAGACAAAAAGGCGGAAGCTTTTACTCAACCGTCTAAGCAGGGGAAGGTGGTTGCGCCGCCGGCAGAGAAGATGGAAAGATACCCGGCGAGGGAAAACATAGACAAAGAGGCGGAAGCTTTTATTCGACATTTTCATGAGCACGGCAAGGTGGTAGCGCCACGGCCGCCGCCGCCGCCATCAAACAAGCTGGAAAGAATTCCGACGAAGGAAGATATCGACAAACAGGCAGAAGCTTTTATTCAACAGTTTAATCACCAGTTGCTTGTTCAGAGGTTGAAGTCTATTGAGAACGACAACAAAATGCGAAAATGATCAAACTGCTCTCATCATTGTGGCCTATATTTTAAATTTACATTATTCATAGCTCCATAAATGAATAAATGTGGTTCTCTACCACTAATTTAATACTCCGTATAATTCAGAATTAAGAAAACAACATAATTTCATAGTACATGGTATGTAGTGTATGTACATGGATATTATTGGATAAAAATGTTCACTCTTGTATAGAAATATTTTTAGAATGTTTTGAAATTTTAAAATAGGATCTTTTATTCTCTAAATAGGAGTAATTTCTGTTAAATTTAGAGAAATCAGTCATGTTTAAAGTCGGGTAATGCCAAACTTAGCAGAAATTACTGAATAAAGAACATTGTAGTCCTATCTATTTTGGAATTTCAAATTTTATATTCCTATTTAGAGAATTCTCCCTAATATTTTATTTTTTTTTTAATTTTCTGGTTTGATCTAGTCTAATCTGATTTGATATGATCTGATTTAAGTCTGATCTAAATTGATCTGATCTGATTTATGTGCATTATGCAACTCTCAAAATCTAACCTGGTTTGATCTGCTATGCTTATGCTTAATCCTATATATTGAAACCAATCTAATTAAATAGGGAGTACATTTTTATTAAGAGAATAATGCATATTTTCATTTATTTGGAAGCAGATGGCTTATATTAATAAGAAAGAACGTACGCAGGGTACAAACAGAATAAGAACACATAGTCTACTACCGTCTGTCCTTGAACCAGACTTAGAATCTGCCACCTTTAATGAAGCACCCAGATTCGTTGATCCTAAATTGGACTTACTTGAGCCAATGACTAGTAAACTAAGTTCCCTATCACCTATCCTAGGTTCTAGTGTCTTGACAAAATTAAAAGAGGCTAACATCCCAAACAAACTGATAGACCTAACAACCAAAACGATAATAAGAACCCAAATGACAAAATAATAATAACTAATACGAAAACTATCACGGACTCTAGCACCTCGTACAACTCATGACGATGGTTCACGAGGAGGTCATACCATTGGTACCACTCTAATTGTACCTCCATTGTCGATCGTAATCTAGCCTATTCGAATCTCGTGCAACTCTCCTCATCCCACATACTTCTCGCCTGGGCTCTCCTCCTTGGCTTCATGCTGGCCGCCGATTACCTGTTGATTCGAGCCGTTCGTCGCCATCTACTATCCTATGCTTTTGTTCGTCTTGCACAAGCCGCACCAGATCGACGGAATTGCCAAACCCTACGAAGAGGGAAGAGTCCGCCCTTTTTGGGGATTGCGCGTTTACTAAAAATTTGACTTAATCATTGTGAATAATTATGAATGATTAATGCGTATTTTAATTGAACACTGATTAATGCGTGCCCTTTCTTTTGAACTCCTTTTATTTATTTAACTTGTGCATCTGCATAGACATGATATCTTTAATTTCTTTTACCGGAGAAGTAGCTTTGAAGAGCAATACACGAAAGATTGAGTACTATGAAGTTAATGAGAGAGCAAAAAGAGTATGTCACCCCACAGATGCTGCCATGTAACATGTCAATTTATTTTTATTTTGCCATTGTAATAATTTTTTATGAAATAAGGACTGGAATATTATAGAAAGAATGACAAAAATATTATTCCTCAATTTTTATTGGACAAATATATGACTGAAACTCGTGTGAACAAAATGCGCGTAAAATTAATTGAATTGACTTAAATGTCCCGCTATTTACGCATGTCCCAGATTTGCGCAAACATTTGTTCTCCAGATCTGTGCATCGTCTCTTTCCTCCAGCAGACCTGCGCGTCAACCGGTCCAGCACCTCCACTCTGTTGCTCCGCCGAAAATAGCATAATTCTCCGCCTACACCATCTGACGCCGCTCTCAACCGTGACCCCCAGTTCTCCACCAGCTGACGTCACTCTCGCCTCCACGTGATTCATTCCCAATCCATTACAAATAAATTGGCTCGGCTATTTATCAGAGAAAATACCAAACATTTGAATATTCCAAAAATGGTAATACGAGAATTAGGGCTGAGCAGGGATCTGGGAATTCCCGTTCTGTACCGAAGAACCGTCCCGAACCGTTCCAGAACTGATAGAATCGAAAAAATGTAATACCGTATCATACCGAGCTTTTTTAATAATATGGTACGGTACCGGTTCTTAGTGAAAACCGTACCGGAACCGTCCTGGAACCGTACCGAACCGGACCGTCTCGTACCATCCCGAATTGTCCCGAAAACTAGTGTTATAATATAATTATATATTATATATAATATAATAATATGTACTGTATAATATATTATATACCGAGTATAATTGTCTGTATATTACTCTTACATCTTCTTTGGGCCCAATCCAATTATTAAAACAAAAACAATGCTAATGGTCTAATGCCACTTAAATAGAACAAAAACTCTTAAACCTAATCGGCATTGTTGAGGCCCTGATGCCAAGGCTTAATATTGATTGTTGACAGAAATTGCCCCGAGGTCTTGATGGTTGATGCCATTGCCTAGAATTCTGGTAGATTTAGTCTAGCTCAAATATGGATTATTAAGTTGATTATTTTTGTAATGTGATGTGATACTTTTTGGTTTTTCAGTTTGACGATCACTTTTGCATTTTAGTTTGGATGTTACTTTTCTTTAATATACTTTGACTATTAGTTACGTTTCATATTTCAATTTGATCACACAGTATCAGTTTAATATAATCTTGCAAGTTCATCTCTTCAATTTTTGTAGAGTTATTTATAAATGTTAAAATCTAAAGTTTTTTATATTTCATGGGGCCATGGGGGTTATTTAGTTATTTAAGAACCGTACCGAACCGTACCGGACCGTACCGAAAATTGGTACGGAACGGGACATGTTCTACATATACGCGGGACGGTACTCGTTCTTGATTTTTAAAAGAAACGTACTTTGGGACGTGATAGGTTTTTCGAAATAACCGTCCTGTACCGTCCCATGCTCACCCCTAACGAGAATAGACCAATACGAGTAGTATCTAGAGCTGCAAAAGGAGTCTTATATATGACTCTTATCTTGTGATACAAGCAAATAAATGGAAACTGGAGAAAAGAATTTGAAGAGATCAATGCTCAAAAAGATGTCACTTAACATCATCCGTAATGCTATGATATGCATGGTGCACGTGTCGAATGAAATAGATACATACTATCCTCCGTTCCATAAAAATTGCAACAGTTTGACTTTCACGTTTGCCAACGCGCAACTTTGACTGTAATTATATTTAGTTACGTATTAGTAAACATTAAAAAAAGTTAATATATTGGAAATTTACATTAATACAAATTTATTAATATTGTTTACATAATATTTTTATTATATATATTATTAGAAAATCATAGTCAAAGTAAGGTGTGTGAATAGTGCAGAAATTCCAATGTTGCAACTTTTATGGAACGGAGGAAGTATAAAAGAACAAATTTGTGATGATTTTCTTTCTTTCTTTCCACGTCCTTATGTTTTTTGATAAGTTATTCTCGACCACAATGTCTAAATCTGGACATTGTATTTGACAGTGTGAAGAAAAACTTACTAAAAGTCTAAAAATATATAAGACCGTTCAAATCAGAAGAGATATATTTTACGTACTTATTAATTTTTATGTTTTTATTATCCTCTCATTTCATGAAAGCTAGGTGTATCTTACTATATTTCATCACATGTGGATTAAGGGAACTCATTGTGTGAATTAGAAAAATATGTTCAAAAGTTCTTAAAAATCTACCACTTTGGAAATTCTTAAATTGCACTCCCTCCGTCCCACAATGAACTTCACAGTTTGACCTACACACATATTAAGAATAAATTTACCATGGGGTAAATTTTACTGTTTGACACTGTTTAGCACTGTTTTGACACTGTTTGACACTATTTTGCACTGTTTGACACTGTTTTGATGTAGATTAACTTGCCTTTAACGAAATGAGAACTTGTTTCTGGGACATCCAAAAAAGGAAAGTGAGAAGTTCATTGCGGGACGGAGGGAGTATAGATTTATTAGTTACAGACTATACTAATAAGAGAATTGAGTAAAACTACAGGACTAAAAACGAATACACTCAACTAGAATTAAATGAATTCTATTGGCAGTGACGGAATCTCCCACAAATATATTTTTCATTATTCCAATGGCACCACTTTCACATAAGAAAAAACAGCTAATTGTGCCCACTTGACATGATTCATGGTTTATTTATAAACAAGCACCTGAGCCTGTTCATTGGTTACATTATTTCGATAATGTATGTTGTCCAACCAAAACTTCATCTGGCATAGTCGCATATATTATTATTATTATTATTATTATTATTATTATTATTAATAATGAGAAAATCTTTGATGTGCACAAACTAAAGGCTTTTAAGGTCAAGAGATAAGACCGTTTGCCAGTTTTTCGGTTTATCACAACTTTTTCATCAAACATGCAACTTTTGCTTTTGCGCGCTGAATCGTGTAATAAACAGAAAAAAAGGTTGGAGTTACTTTTCTGGCTGTATTGGCTGAAGTTACTGTAGATGACCATTTTGGCTATTTTTACATAAGTTTTTATTTATTTTATTAATAAAATATATTTTAAAAATAATTTTTTCTTAAAACAGTAGAATCAGTCGATGCAGCATTGCAGCCACTTCAGCCAGAATTTCATAAATTTCAGGAGAATCAACCAAATCAGCAGATTTTTGTGCTACCAAACGGGCTTAATAACTTTATGACACAACAGTGATTTTTCTTGTAATTAGAGTAAACACAAGAAACTTTTGATGGCCTTTATTGTCAACCAGCACAGCACCCGTATATAGTAAACACAAGAAACTTTTCCGTGCATACGCACGGAAAAAATAGTTGATCCTTATATATTTTTGTTCATGATCTAACTAAATATGTAGTATAAAAATGTTTTTTTTACAATTCTATAACATTTAAAAAATGGAGTACAATAAGTTAATATAAAAAAGTATAAATCCATACAACAAATATTCAAAGTAAAAGAAAAATAAAGTAAAAAAATCAATAATATACATTAGAATTTGCTACGTAATAATTAGTATTGTTGACAACAAATAATGAAATATTGAACTTAATTGTTAGAGTTCAGAAAAGCAACTTTAAAGAGAACTTTTAGTGGTAATACATAAATCAGAGAAAATTTTCCCGTTCAATTATTAATCCGCTTATATTATACTGCGTATGTAACAGCAGAGAGAAAATTTTCTCATTCAATTATTAATCCGCTTATATTATACTGCGTATGTAACAGCACTTCATATGAGAGAGACAATTTTTTCGCTCAACTATTATTCCGCTTATCTTCTATCAAAAAGCACTACACGTGAGAGCGAAAATTCTCCCACTCAGCTATTTGTCTGCTTATCTTATACT